ATAATGATGATGATGATGATGATGATGATGATGATGATGATGATAATAAATTTTTTTGGGTACGACATTGGAACGTGCGGAAACATGTTGGCGAATCGCGGAAGGTAAAAAATTCGGTGGTACGAATCAATCCCGAATTTTTTCTTTAATTTATTTATTTTTTCCCCTAGGGGGGATGGGAGTTGGGGGGAAGAAAGCGGGGGAGTAAGAAGTAAAAAATCATCTTTCGAAACGGGTCGTTGTTATTTTTTTAACGGTTAAAATTAAAAATAATTTTTTTTTTTGATTTGATTTGTCGACTATGTAAATATTCGAAAAAAAAGTTACAAAACTAGATAAAATTTTATTATTATTATTATTTATTTGGGGGGTCAATAACCTTATTAAAATTTATTTATTTAAAAAAAAAGGTTAAATTTTTAACGGTTTTTTATTGTGTAACGACATTTTTTTTTATTATACAAAAAAAATTCGTAATGGAGATTTTTATTAAAAAATCGTCACCGTCGTCGCCATCGCCGCCGTCGCAATTCTCATCATCATCATCATCATCATCATTTACGCAGTCGCGATGATAATAATAATAATAATAATTATCATGATTTTACGTAAGTAATGAGGAAAGTAAAGGGCAACCGCATGAAGTTTATTAAATTCAAGGTGGTTATAAATGCAATTTTAATTTTTTTTTTTTTTTTACGTTAATAAATTATATATTATGTACATTATTATTTAATAAATCGATGACGTGGACAATCGTTTATTTAAATAATTAATTTTTTATAATTTTATCCTTTATTTAATAATAATAATACTCAATAACACCGAGAAGTGAGTGAAAAAAAAAAAAAAAAATCGAAAGAGAATACAAATACATACATAAATTTTTATTTATTAATAAATAACAAATAAATTTATTTAATCGAAGGTTATGTATGCACTTATTTACATAAATGTACATAATATAAAAAAAAAAAAATTAATTACTTTCGAAATGAGAGGGGGGTGGGGAAATAATGATGATTGTTAGGGGTTCGATTGATTATGACGCCGCGATTTTAGGAGGAGAAGAAGAGGAGGGGATTAAAGATGAATGACTGATTGATTGATTGAATGATCGAATGATCGATAGAAGAATCAAACGGAAGCAATTACGAAATAAAATAAAAAAAAATACCATCATGATCAATGCATCGATGACACAACCTTGAATGATCGTCCTAAGCTGAAAAAAAAAAAAAAAACGCGTAACAAGTTTTACAACTACGAAGAAACCCGCCAAGTTTTTCTTTTTTTTTTTTTTTTTTTTTTTTTTTTTTTATACGATCTATTTTAATAATATATTAGCGCCATTTTTACACAATGACAGATGTTTTGCAGTGTCAGTTTAGTTCCAGGGATTGTCGGGATCGGATCCCTCTAAATAGCAATAATAATAATAATGTACGGTAAATTTTTTTTATTTTTTATTTCGGTTTTATTACACGGTCAAGCGGAGTCTTTAAAGATTCGTAAGTTTATTTATTTATTTAATTTTTTAATTTTTTTAATTTTTTAATTTTTATTTTGTCGTTTGTTTGTTTGTTCGTTTGTCTGTTTGTATTATTATTATTTTGTATTTTTTTTTTTTTTTTAAAGCGAGTTATTTCAAACCGTGTGCAAGAACGGATCCGAATTTTAACGAATGTGCTAGAAAACATGGACAAGAATCTATACCATTTTTAATTAAAGGTAATTAATTAATTAATTAATATTTTTATGATTAATATTATTATTATTATTATTAGTATTATTATTATTTGGACTTTTTTTTGGTTTGGTTTTTTTTTTTTTTTTTTTCGATGATATGTGCGTGACTTTTATGTAATTGAAAATGCGAGGAAATTTTCGTCGTCGTCGTAGTCGCGAATTTATTAAATTTTCGAACCGGAAACACCGGAAATGACGTCATCGACTGCGAATTTTTCGTTTTTTTTTTTAATCGGACGTGTATAAAAAAGTAAGAAATGAATGGTAGATTGTAGGAATGGAAGAGGAAAAATTGGGATGGGTTTTAAAAAAAAAAAAAAAAAAAAATTGTCGTACGAGGAAATTTTCCGCGAGGAAATTTTGTGAATGGGGGGGAGGTTGGGAAATTTTTAGAGAAATTAATTTAAATCCGCTCCCACTTTGAGTTTTAACTGGAAAAACTAAAATCTATGGAGAATTTTTTTTTCGGGAAAGTATGGAAAATTTTTTTATTATCAATAAAATTTGATAACGTTTCCATGACCTGGGTTACGCACTACCAAAACAAGTCATTGCGTGCGATACGCGTGCGTTTTTTTTTTATGTCTTTCCCCCGCAAATTAAGGTTCGTTAAGTTTATTATTTATTCGTCATACGACGACGTGTAATTATCCGCTAATGATTAAATTTTCTCCTTCCACGTTCTTCCCCAAATTTTTTTTTTCGAAATAAACTTGGAAAAATGAGGGAGGAGGGAAAATTTTTAAAACAAGTATTGCTTCATCCGTCGGATTAATGACAAAGTTTATAAAATTTTTTTAAAATTTATCGTTAATTGATTAATGTCACGCACGGATTAACACGAATTTACGCACGCACACGCACTCACACACGCACCCACCTCAAGCATTTTACGATCGCTCATAAAAAAAATTTTTAAGGGTCAAAGTCGCGGCACAGTTTTTTTTTCTTTTTAAATAAAATTTTATTAAAACCTTATAATTAACTTATAATAATTATTAATTATATAAATTAATAATGATAATAGTCGATAATGATAAAAATAATAATGATGATAATGATAATGATGTTTTTTTTTTTTTTGAATTCTCAGCCAGCGAAAATAAGGATTACGAAGGTAAAGAAAAAAAATAAAAATAAAAAAAACGCACGAAAACGCGCGCGTACACACGGACGAAGACTGGAAAACTTGTTTTTTTTTTTTTTTTTTTTTTACAGTTGGCAACGTTGTTTAAAATTTAAATCCCGCATGAATATAAATAAAATAAAATAAAATAATCTTTCAAGGGGGATTCTTCTTCTCTTGACTCTCCAAAAAAATAAAAATAATTGTTTTTTTTTTCTTGGCCATCTTTCAATATCGTACCATAATAATAATATTTTACCTCTCTCTCTCTCTCTCTCTCTCTCTTCCTTTGAATTTTATATTTAAAAAATTTTTTTTGTTGAATTTTCAGGTGATAGAAAATATAAAATACCAGAATTAAATCCGTTGATTTTACCGGAATTGAACATAAATCAGGGGGAAAGTTTAAAGATAAAATTAAAAAATGCAAACATATACGGATTTAATGAAACGATCGTCGATAGTTCCAGGTTTGTTTGTCTTTTTTTTTCCAGCGGGATTTTTTTTTACTTAAAAATCTAATAATTATTATTATTATTGTCATTATGCAGTTTTGATTTCGATAATAAAAGAATCGTTATGAAATTTTCACTTCCACAAATGACGATAAAATCACATTACGAAATGTCTGGAAGAATTTTAATTCTTCCAATATCTGGAAGCGGTCCATCGTATTTAATACTACGTAAGTGTAAAACGGAAATGGTTTTTTTTATTTGTTTCTTTGTTATTCGAGAAGATAATATTTTGATTTTTTAGGCGAGTTAACGTTCACGTATGATTTCCCATACGAAATATCAAAAAAAAATGGAAAAGATTATGTGAAACCTATAAAAGGACAAATAACATACGATTTCAAAGGAATGAAATTACAATTTGATAATTTATTCAACGGTGATAAACTTTTAGGTGAGTCGTTTTTTTTTTTTTTTTCTCTTTTTATTTTCCGCCATTTACAAAAAAAAACCAACAAAAATTATAAACGATTAATTTGTAGGACCGGAAACGAATAATTTCTTAAACGAAAATTGGAAAGAGGTTAGTAAAGAATTAGGTCCTGGAGTCGCTGAAGCTTTGGCCGAAGTCGTTCATTTAATTCTTTCAAACGTATCCGATTTGGTACCTTACGACGATTTGTTTCCGGAAAAATTGTAAAATTCCTTTTAATTTTTAACACGTGCACGCACACGCACACGCACACAAGCATCATCATCACGTAATTATTTAAAAAAAAAAATATTAATTAATAAATGATAGCTAGTCTTCGTTCGTGATTTGGCTTTAAATAATAATTATTATATTTAGTTTAGAATGATGATGATGATGATGATGTCGACGTGTTAAAATGAATTAATAAAAAAATAATTTTTTTTTTTTTTTGACCAAAGTTAATTATTATTATTATTAATTTTGAGTTTTTATTGTTTAAAAAAATTGTTATTGTTAGCGTTAGCGTTAATTAAATACGAGTTTTTAATTATCGTTTTTCAAATCATAGTCATTATAATTAACTTATGTTTTTGATAAATAATTTTATTTAGTTATTATTAATAAATTTTCCGTTTGATTTCTTTCCTTTTATTAAAAAAAAAAAAAAAAGTATTTTTGTTGGTTTTGAATTGACGTGGCAGTAATAATTTAAACTTTAATTAATGATTGTTTTTAAAAAAAATAAATAATTTTTTCCCCGTTTACTTTTTTACTTTTGTGTATAAAAAATTGCACAATTTAATAATTATAAGGCGAAATTGTAATTTTTCTATATTTATTGGGTTGGCAATTGCATTGCGGGTTTCATCAAGGGTTAGTTAGTACCTGTTTTTGAGTAGGTTTACATTTTTTCGCAGAACTTTTGGTACCTTATTATTTGGTACCTTCTGTAACATTCAGTATCAATACTGAACTCTTAATTTGGGTGCGAGTAAAAGACACTTAAACATGATTGAGAGCCAAAGCGAGCGATTCCTCCACATTTTATTTTTATTTTTTTTTTTGAAAGAGTTTTATTGGCTTCACAAGCCAATAAAAAGTTGTGGGCTGTGTAGGGTGATGAAGCGTTAATAGAACGTCAGGTTCGCGAAATTCTATTCTGGAGATTTTTCTTTGAAAAATGAGGAGTGCTCTGGGTGTCCAGTAGAGGTCGATGATGACCAAAGAAAGGCCCTAATTGTTAATGATCGGCATAGTTCGACAAGGGACATTGCAAAGAAGCTAGATGTGTCACATAAGTGCCTTCAAAACTACCTACGGTGTCTTGGGTACCAAAAGAAGCTTGTTGCATAACCTTGGGGAGTGCAAGACGACTTGGTCTTTGCGATATGCTTGTTAAACGCAATGCGAATGACCCATTTTTGAAGGAAATGGTGACCGGAGATAAAAAGTGGGTTGTATATGACAACCTTTTGTGCAAAAGATCCTAATGGTCTAAGCAAGGCAAACAAGCATCAAAACAGGTACTGTTATCAGTTTGGTGGGATTACAAAGGCGTAGTATACTTTTGAGTTGCTGACACAAAGACCATAAATTCAGAGGTTAAAGTCATCCAAGAAAAATGACGAGAGCTAGCAAATAGAAAAGGAAGAATTGTCTTTCACCACGATAATGCCAGGCCCTCTCCCATCTTTAACCACCGAACAAAAACTACCGGTGCTAGGCTGGAATGTTTTGGCTCATTCTCCTTTTTTTCCACCCTCGTTTTTTTTTCCTTAAAAATAAGAAAAAAGGACAACAACAACGAAAAAAACATTAAATATAAATATTTACCAAAAATTTATTATTCCCAAATCGGCCTGCACTTTCCGGTATGATCTTTCACAGTTCCTTCCGGACAGGGTAAATCTGGAGCTTTAATTATATATCCTCCAGAAGATTTTTCCCCGGATGAATTCTTCTCCCCTTCGAATCCTTTCGCTTCCGTTTGATTTTTTGGCGCGGAATAAAAAACGGCAAAAAAATTATTTAAAACTTCCCCTATTATAGTCTTCATACTGATAATAATACTCAACTGTTATAGTTTATCTAATCGCACGAATATTTTATACCACGTTATTAATTAATTAACACTTTTAATAACAAAACGCAAATTAAATTCTTATTAATAGTATCGTCAAAAATTTTAAATCAATACTTAACTTTCGGAAAACTTTTAGGTTTAAACAAAAAGACAAAATCATTTTTTTAATTGTTTTATTATAAATTTAAGCAATACAATTAACATAACCCTGATAAAAATTATTATTACCCTTCCCCCTCCCCCCGATAGATAGAATAATAAAAAAAATAAATAAATAATAATAATAATTATAATTACAACTAAACTACAACTTATAATTAATTGTGTATAAAAATGTCAAACAAAATATTTTTTTTAATTAATTAATAATGATAATAATAATAATATCAGCAAAATATTATTTGTTGAGATTATCCGTAGAGTAATAAATATAATTTATTACCTAATAAAATAAAAAAACAAATAAATAAACAAACAATCAGACTTAGAACAAAATCAAGGGTGAAGTTTAGGTAGTTTAACAAACACTTTATTCGCGTATACCTAAAAATTAAATAAAAATGGCGTCGATATTTATGTATTGATTAATTAAAAAATTTATCGAACGGGAAATTTTTAAACGCGTCGTTGAATATTTTCGTGAATGCCGTGCTCACGAGATCGTCAATTATAGGTTTTGATAATTCGAATCCAGGTTTCCAACCGATTCTGATAAGACTGTCGACAAACTGATCTGGAAAAGGGAAAAAGTTTTAGTGTGCATCGGTGGGTGGGTGGGTGCGTGAACAAGGGATACCAACCTCCGGAAGAACGCCATGATGGTATTAAATTTTTTATGTGCAGTTCCATGTTTCCACATTGAAGAGCTTGTATCCTCACGTGAAAAGGTGCATTGGGATCAGCGTGATAACCTTTTTTAACTCCTGCCGTTGTTACTTGAGTGTAATTGACTGCACAATCAAACGAATTTGTCGTTATTATCATTATCATTATCATTATTATCATTATTAATTATTTATATAAAAATAAATAAATAAATAAATGCAAAATTAAGTGCAAAAAAAAAAGTGAATATTGTGTCAAGGTGATAAAAGGTAATAAATTAATATGTAGAGATGACGTAGGTACGTACCTTTTAAAATATATATTGATGATAATAATAATGATAAATAAATACGATAAAACTTACATAGGCCCAAATTGAACGTTCCAGAATTTTTATAAGGTTTGAAAATATTCGTTTCAATTTCCCACGACCCGTCTAAATATTTGGCTGGAAAAAATTGATGATAACGTATCAGTTGATTATTTAAATCGCTTTGAAATTTATACACGTGCGAATTAGTCCATCCTCTTTCGTAAACGTTTCTTATTGTTAGCTTATAGTATAATCCGTGACTCCCACGCACTTGAACGACTTCCTCTGCGTAAAATGGATCAAAAGGGGGTATGTTGAATTCTTTGACACCCGTTTTAAAATATGGCCTGGCAGCGTTCACCCCATTTTTTATACATTCGTCAAAATCCGGACTACCTTTCCGACATTTTGAAAATATTTTAACTGGAATTTATCGAAAAAAAAAAAAAAATTAATTTTTTTCTTCTTCTTCTTCTTTTCCTCATCGTTCGCTCCCGAAAATATCCGAATGTTATCAATTAAAATAAACGCATAATCCGTAAGAAAGGAAAATAATAATAATAAAACTCACCGAAATCACTTTCTCTATTTATTACAATTTGTTCTCCTTTAATAATAATAATAATAATTGGCGTAAGTGCCAAAACTATGAAAAAAAATAAATTCATGTTATTTAAACCGATATAAAATACGAAATGATTTTTTATTTTAAAAAAAAATATCGTTAAAGGATTCCAGTGCGTGCCCCCCTCCCCACTCTAAAGTTTAATTTTTTTTTTTTTACTAACATCGAGGCCTGGTCGAACCTCCTTTTTTATCTCTTTCTAATTTTTTTTTTTTTTTGTTTCTGTCTTCGTCATCGAAGTTTATAAACAACAAACAACCAAACAACCAAAAAGTAAGAAACAAACTCGATTGGTTACGGTGAGGGGGAGGGGAGGAGACGAAGAAGAAGAATAAAATAGAAAGTCATTTTTGTTATGTAACGAACATAACAATGCCAAAAAATGCATCGGAAATGACGTCATAATTTTTTATTTTTTATACGTAACCGGGAATGGGAGTAATTAAAATTTTTGGGAAGGGGAGGGGGTGCTAAACCCCGTAGAAAATTATAAAAATGACCCTACAGGTCAAGGTCGATTAAATTATTATCTTAAAAAAATTTTCCCGCGATGAATGGCGACATTTTTTTTTTCTGTTAAAACTAAATAAAAGAAATTTTCAGTGCCGTATTAAGTATATATTGTATCGATCGAATAATAACAAAACCTGATTTAAGGCCTTGAAGGTTCGATTTTTATTAAATACATCGAGTGACCTTACTTATTTATAAAAATTTTTGGGGGAAATGGAAATTCCGAAAAAAAAAGTTTTTCGGTTTGACGTAACGTATGACGTAATAAAAGCTTATTGACCTTGAAATTTTCATTCCCGTCGTGTTATTAAAAAATTTTCCACATTTGTTTTTAAGGTACGACCTGGTAAAACCGAAAATTTTTTTTATTATTATTCGGAAATGTCGTTAATATGTTACGTTAATGTAAAAAAAAATTTGTTTTGTTTTTTAAAGTTTGATTCCAGGTACTGGAGAACGGGGCGAACGTAATAGCCAACCTTTAATTTTTTTTTTTTTTTCCATTTAACGAAATTAATGACCGGTCATCTTTTTATGCCCTTCGGGGGGATTTGCAAAAAAAAAAAAAAAAAAATTATACAAAAAACGAGTTGTTTAATTTTATAGGGCGACTCATTTACGTCAAATGATTTTTTAAAAAAAACATTTTGCCTTATCATACTTTTTATCATTATTTAAAAAATGTTTTCTGGAAAATTTAATGAAGAATGAAAATCGAAGAGTCTGGAGAAAGATGATTTTAATCGTTTTTCTTGAATGCCCTCTGAATTTATGGTCTGATTTCGTGGGGGAGCAGCTCGAAGTAGACTAAGCCTTTGTAGTCGAACCAAACTGATAACAGTACCTTTTTTTGGTGTCTGTTTGCCTTGCCTAGACCACGAGGATCTTTTCCTCAAAAGGTTGTTTTATCTCCGGTGACCATTTGTTTGAAAAATGGATCATTCGCATTACGTTTAAGAAGCATATCGCAAAGACCAAGTCGTCTTACGCTCCCCAAGGTTATGCAACAAGCTTCTTTTGGTACCCAAGACACCGTAGGCAGTTTTGAAGGCACTTATGTGACACATCTAGCTTCTTTGCAATGTCCCTTGTCGAACTATGTCGATCGTAATCAATGGGGATCATCATTGACCCCACTGGGAGCCTTTGGACACTGTCGTTCTTTTGAGGCTTCATCACCATACACAGCCCCACAACTTTTTATGGGGTTGTGAAGCATTAGCAGCCTTTCGGCTTGGCTTTGGCTTTGGCTCTTCATCTTTTAAATGAAATTTCGATACTGAATGTTACAGAAGGTACCAAATAAAAAGGTATCAAAAGTTCTGTGCAAAAATGTAAACCTACTCAAAACAGATACTAACTAACCCTTGATGAAACCCGCAATGCAGTTGCCAACCCAATAAAAAAAAATTCACTCCGAATGGAGAAGAATTTTATAAAAAAAAGAATTCAAACCACAATCATCTTCCAGTTATCATTACATCAATTTGAGAAAAAAAATCGCATTCGAAAAGATGATTGAACTGGAACTGGAAATTTTTTTTTTTTTTTTTGATTTATAAGTCTGGAAGTTTTTTAATTATGGAGAATTATACAAATGTCGAGTCGTTTTTAATGGGGGAAAATTAGTTTTTTTTCCAGTTTTTTTCCATTAAAACCAGAAATTTTTTACCTTACTCAATAAAATAAAAGTTCACATTTGAGTTTAGTAAAAGATGAAATTTTTTTTTTTTTTTAAATAAACGCAATGTGCAGAATGACGATGTCAAAACGCGAGTTTAAAAAGGTCAAAACGGGTCAATAGGTTAATATTTTTACATAAAAATTATTTATTACTGGAAAAAAAAAATTTTTCATTTATTATTTGCAAATCAATAATTGTAAAAATTACTTTTTTCTTTCCATTAAATTAAAAAAACGAATTACGTTGTTCTCGTTTTTGTTGTTGGTCGTGACGTCTACAAAGCTCGGAAAACCACTTCATTGATAACGATAACCCTCTGGATAAACCTTGGAGAGACAGAAAGGGGGGGAAAGAGAGAAAAAACTGGATTTTAATTTTTTAACGAAAAACTAAAACTGATTATTTTTTTATTATAATTCACTCTTAGAAGGGGGAGAGGTAGGATGAAGGCAGGAATGATAAAACAGTAATTGTAATGATAAAGTAGTAAATGTAATGATAAAGCAGACGACGACATTTAAATAAAATAAAACTCGTTTTCTTTTTTTTTTTACATTTACATTCATGCAAATAAAATGTTTAAGTGTAGCGCTAAAAGACTAACTTAATAATTTGCAAGCGAATCGTTTACGTTTTTTTTTTTAAATGACACTATTTTCTCACGTTTATATTTCCCAACGTTTTATCATTTAAGAATAAAAAATTATTTGTTATAATCGTTTAAAATTTTAAGGGAATGACAACAGAAAAAAATAAAAAAACGGGCAAATATTTTTTATTATTTGTGAATATATATAAAAATATTTATTTATAGTATAAAATCATTATAAAAAATATATATATATATAATTAATTCTATCACAAAAAAAAAATAAAATAAACCCGCAATATTTTTTTTTATTTACGGTTATTTCTGCGTTATTATTGCGGACATTAAATTCGTCAAGGTAAAAATTAATTTAATTTAATTAAACTTTTCGAAATTAGTAGTAGTAAAAAAAAGTTAACAAACACGTGACTGACACAATCGGTCAGGGTTAAAAAAAAAAAAAAAACACAAAAGATTTTGATAAAAGTACGACCGACCGACCCCAAGTACGCGAATACGCGCGGAAAATTTTTAATAAATGATAAAAAACTACCCGAATATTATTAATTTTAAGAGAATTTTTTTAAAGACGTGATTACGTCACACCCCAAGACAAACAAAGACAAACAAACAAACAAAATATCAGTCATTCGATACGCAAAAAAATAATAATTTTTTTTTTTTATGGGAAAAGTTCATCGTACGTAAATTTCAACGTTATTCTATTGGCAATATCGGTAAATACTTCGCTTATGGAACTTTCTAAAGCCGGTTGAATTTCTTCTAGAAATATTTTCGAATTCGAATTGATTATTCTATTTGTTGCGGGACCTGTACGAAAAAAAAACATAAATTTAAACGAACGAAAAAATATAAAGAGAGAGAGAGAGAGAGAGATAAATAATAATAATAATATTAACTCACCTAAAACTGGATCCCCATTAAATAAATTTGTCATGTGTATTGATACGTCACCAACATCCAATTTTGTTTTCATTTTTCTCATTTGAAGATATTTTTTACCATTTTTTTCAACTTTATCGCCTTTCATATTAACTTCGGCTTTGTAATTAGCTATAAAAAAAAAATTAATCTTCATTATCATCATCATCGAAACGATAATAATGATATAGAATGATAAAAACTCACTCAAATTTCCAGTTATTATTCCTTTTCCCTGGAGTCTTAATAATAATATTCTCATGTTCATATTATAATCGCCATCGAAACTTAATTTCGGAAGAAGAATTTTAAAATCGAATTGACTATTTTTAACATTTGCTCTGTAAAATATTATCATTATTATTTATCGTCTGCTTGCGACAATAAATAAATTTCCCACCACCCCCCCTCAAGTAAACACGATTTTAAATCGACTAATGTGTTTTATTAATTATTACTACATACGTAATAATAATAACAACGATGGGACAAGTTGTTTGTTGTTTGTTGTTTTAACAAACAACCGTGCGAATAATTTAAACGTGGTTTAAGACATCATCATTATTATTAAAGAACAGCAAGTTTGTATTTACCCTACCCTAAATTAACAAACTTGTATTTTTAAAAACTTACTTTAATGATTTTATAATAAAATTAGACGGTCCGTAAACTTTTAAATTTTTAACGCTCGCTTCAATTTTGGCCCCATCGGGTCCCCTAACTAAAGAAACTTCATTTAATAAAAGGGGTTCGAGGGGTGGTACATCCAATTCAGGTATACCGTTAATTAATTTCGATCTTATCGCTTCTATCGATGTGTTTATACATTTTGCCAATTGTGGATCTGCACTTTTACACGTTTGAATATAATCCGCTGGAAAAAACAATAATATTGATGATAATGATGACGTACTCGTTCGTCACGTGACGAAAAAAAAATTAATAATAATTACTTACGTATTAAACCGTTGGCTAACACGATAACGTAAATAAATAACCATAGAAAAATTAGGAAAAAATCCCCGCGAGATGATTTATTTGTTTTCTTAACAAAAACAACAAAATTGTCCATTTTCCTCATGATTGTTATTCTACCTTTAAAAAAAATAGAAAATATTTTTTTTTTTTTACGTGGGGGGGTGGGGGGAGTCTCCGATAATTAGTTTTTAATTAATATCTCCATCTCCTTTTTCTTAAATTATCATGTTTTTGTCGTTAAAAAGGCTCTCATTTTTCTTAATTTACTTTTTTTCTCGTTTTAAATCATTATTATTATCATTATTATTATTATTATTAATTAATTTATTTTCGTAAAATGTTAAAGAAATTTTTGTCGCGGCATAAAAAAATCGATAAAGAGAGTAACGAAAGTTATTCGAAGTACTACTTCTCCTGTCGTTTTTAATTAAAAAATTAAGTTTTCCGGTGTTTCCCCCCCCCCCTTCTCTCTCTCTTTTTCTTCGTATTGTGCGTGCGTATTGTGCGTGAATTACGCATTTATTTATAGCATAGAGTGAGGAGGGAAAAAAAAAAAAGAGAGAAACGTTTATGCAATAGAGTTTCGCATATTAAAGGTTTTCTGGTTTGTTGTTTATTACCAGATATTGCCAAAGTATTTCGCGTAATAAAAAAAAAAAAATTACAAAGTTACACGCTTTGATAATAATGATAACGTTTTACATTTATATAATATTTAATTATAAGTTTAAAAAAAAAAAAAAAATCCGATGAAAAATTCGAAGCGGATTAACCGGGGCGCGGGAGGGAAGGAGGTGGATTGAGGGTGAGGGGAATTATCATTATTATTGTGGCATTTTGAAAAAAAAAAAAAAAAAAAATACGTGGAATTAACCGGTTTTCATTTTTTTTTAACGCGAAAATTTATTAATATTTGCGGTGAATTTTTTTTTTTTTTTTTTTTGATAAATTGACGCACGCTACGTAAAACGATCGGAAAATTTTTTAAAAAAAGGTAGTGGGGTATGGGAGAGGGGAGGAGGGAGGGGAATTCGGGAAAATTTTTTCCACGAGTCAAAATGGTAAACGTAGAAAGTTATGAAAAAAAAAAAAAAAAATTAACCGCGACAACCGCGACGGTTTCTGGTCCTGGACCCAAAAAAAAAAAAAAACTCGGAGATCTTGACCCGTGATGCTGCGTTTTTTTATTTATTATTTGTAACGTATAATTTTATCACGTGTCTTATTATTATTATTATTATTATTATTATCGTCATCGCCGCCACGAAATTAGAAAAAAAAAAAAATTTGGGTTTATGCCTGCGTGCCTGGGTTGCCTGTCTGGGTTGCCATTTTTTTAACCAACAAATTAGTAAATTTATTTACGACACGATAATTAAAATTTATGAAATTTAGTTAAAAAGAAAAGGCACTCTCGCCTTTCCTTTTTTACCTTTCAACGACTTGATAATAATAATAATAATAATAATAATAATAATAATTAAATTATTACGTCATTTTATCCGACGCCTTGACAAATTTTTTTTTTCGACTCGAAAACTATTTGGAAAATTTTTTTTATTATTTTTTTTCTTCTTCTTATTATTATTATTACTTTCATTGAATTTTTTTTAGGGTTTGTGAAAAAGGGCCCCGGTAAAAAGGGCCCTGAATAAAATATTTACAATGAAATTCAAAACCTTTTTTATTTATTTATGTCAAATTTTCCAACTTTAAAATTGTTTAACGATTATCGAAAGACGTTTGAACCTTCATCGACCTTTAATTAATTATTACCGTCGAATAAAATAATAATAATAATAATTTATCTTTTTCTTCGATGACGTATTGGAAAATTTTTTTTTATATTAAACTTGATTGACTAATTATTATTATTACTTACCGTCGATTTTTTTCGTCAAATAAAAAAAAAAGTAATTAAAAAATTATTTTGTAGTGTCTGCAAAAAAATTCAAAATTAAAAAACTTTTATCACATTGTTTTATTATTATTATTATTATTAATCAATGTATATATATATTAATAACTCGAACGTTAACAAACGACTGTCACATTAACCTGTAGTCAGTCATTAATATGTTAACATTCATTAGAACATTCATTGAAACTCGACTACAACTACTACTAATCAACCCTGATTGCGGCCAATGAAGAAACCCGGACTGGAGAACTCTGATGCAATTTTCAAATTGTTGTTACTTAATCAAGACAATTATTATTTTTTTTTTTTTATTTCATTCTTGCCTCGCCTAAAGTATTTTTGCACTTATATTCATTCCTCCTCCTCCTCCTCCCCACTCCCACCCGCCCTCGTAAAAAATACTACGTACATATATTAATCGAACGAATATAATAATAATAATAATATGTGGTAATTTTTTTTCTTTCTTAGTTTTCGATTGTGATTGACAAATGTGTGATTTTAAATTATTATGAAAAACTATTATTAGGAAAAAAAAAAATTTTTTTTTTAATATTTAATTATTACTTTTTTTTAAGGGTTCATCATCCTGCTCCGGGAAAACGGGGATGCGAGCGGAAGGACGGCGGGAAGATCTTCTTGCCTGGGATGAACCGAACTTCCTTTCGGACTGCAAGAGTTAATCAGACGGCGGCAGGGGCGAAACGCGGACGGACTTAGGGGCATGTTTCGTCGGATCCGCAACTTTGGAACTTCTCACCGTCTCTCTGAGGCTCACTTCGTCTCTGCGAAGAGACGGGAACGACGTGGCAGGTCGGTACCGTCTCCCGAGGCACGAGGGAGGAAAGGGTTTGTCCCGGTACTCTGAGTCGGGCTCCGGATCTCTTTCTCGATTACGTCGAGGGAAGATTCGTCCCGGCTTCGGTGCGTCGGCGTACTCCGCGGCGATCGGAGTCTGGCAAACTTCGGTCGTCGCGGAGTCGTCCAGGGGAGGAAAGTGGGATTAATGTTTCTGATTTTTTCAGGTTCATGTCTTCGATCTTTCTCCCGGAGCGAGCAGCGACAGGGGCACGTAGATGATGGAAACGGGCGGTCCGGCCGGGAGTAGCGCACCCGTCCGTGTCGTCCGGTTCCGGAAGGTTACATAGAATCCCATCAAGAGAACCCTATCTTAGCCCAAGTCATACATACGGAAGAAAAAATTACAAAAAAAGGAGTACTGAAAAGGGCAAAACAAATCGTCCAAGAAAATAAAGAAAACGAGATAATGGAAGAAGGGCAACTTGCAACTTATGATAGCAAAGGCCAATCTCAGAAGAAATTAAAAGGCAAATGGGAACAGAAAAAATTGCATGGGCAATATCTAAAAAGAATAAATGCCGAAGATATTGTTATGATCCGGTACTCAATGTTTACATTTTTCAATATTTATAAACAAAAGACTAACGATGAACTCAAATTGTCCTTTCTAGAAGCTTCGCTTCTAGAAACTCTCTCTCTTTTTAGATTTATCTACTCAAGAATCACTGGAAAAGCCAGAGAAAAAATTTCTATGTACAATTTTGATAATTGGGATGATATGAAGACAAAATTAACAGAATTATATCAGGATAAGAAACACCACAGTCAACTTATAGAAGAATTAACCAGTTGCAAACAAGGATCAGATGAATCAATTACAGAATTCTATGAAAATTTAGTTAGAAAATTTATCCTGTCAAATCATATCCAGTTTAAAGGTAGATACTAAAGATAAAAAAATCACTTTCTATAAAAATTAAATATGTTAACGAAATAACTCTAGGTCGTTTTATTTTTCACTCAAATCCTAAAATATCTCAAATGTTGAGATGGAAAAATTTTGATAATCTTAATTCTGCATGTTCAGCAGCCATTGCTGAAGAAAAAATTTTAAAAATGACAAAAGATAATAAATATTGTAACCATTGTCATTGTAGGAATCTTCACTTCAAAATCCAAAAACCTGCAGGTATTGTAAAAAGTCAGGACATCTTTTGGAAGAATGTCTTCTAAGGAAGAAAAATAGTGAGCTCCGTGAAAAACAAAATTTTAGAAATGAAGAACAAAATATTAACTCAAATAAAACCCTGGTTCCAGCATAAATGTAATAAAAGCTTGCAAGTTGACGCCCGAAACTAAATTCAACCCCAAAGAAAAAGTCAAAATTCAGGGAATCAGTCATAATCAACCACAATTGGAAACAATCGGTACTTGTATAATACCTCTAAGATTTGATGGTAAAGTAATATCTACAAAATTCCATGTCTTGAATCAAGCAACAAATATTCCTTACGATGGTTTGTTAGGAAAGGAATTCTTCATAGAGCATTCAGCATGCATCAACTATGGGAATAACACAGTAAAATTTAAAGAAAAACCTAAAATTTTACAAGTTACAGAATCAAAAACTGAAGTTGAAGAGAAAACAGATCCTTCACCAGAATCAATTCCTGTTCAAGAGGAAAAATCACCCTCTAGAGATTCATCTAAAGAAAAGTCTAAAGAAACAGCATCACTCCGTAGGAATAAAAATAAGAAAAAAGGTCCAAGAGTAAAAGAAGAAGGTCTATACAGAATCCAAAGCTTGAAAATAATCCTAAAGCTGAAATTCAAAAGGAAATAAAATTTTTCAACTAAAAATGTAGGAGCCATTGGAAAAATTCACAAGGATAATTTTGAAAAACATACTAGAAAGCGGAAATGGGGTTCCAGAACCGAGAAAACTAGGAAGAAAGCATCCATTTTTATATCAACTGATTTTCACGAAGAGTCTATTCCTGAAGTAAAGCTATTTTTACTGAATAAAGTTCAGTTATCGCCTAACGAAAAAGAGAAGATTCAAACCAGTCAAAAATTAGCAAGAGGAAATCTAAATAAAAATAAAATTAAGTCAAGACAAAATATTTTTCAGAACTTATTTCAGTTTTGTTTCAAATTTCATGTTTATTGATTTTATCCTTTTACCCTTACTCATTATGAAACATTGTTCACTAATGAGTATTGCCGAGGTAAAGTTCTACTGCTTACAGCTCTAAGCCTTAAAATTATGTTGCTGATAAGAAGTCAACGTGAAGAGAAACAAGAGTCTACCATGCAGAAGACATAGCACCTACTACTACTCAAGGAGTCTCAACCTGGACGGAACTATTTAA